CCCCAAAACCCCAAAACCCCAAAACCCCAAAACCCCAAAACCCCAAGGAGTGGCATTCCAACAAATAGCGGAATAATTATAACTCAAATTATAAACATTAAATCAATGGCAAATTAGTAGCAATAGAAATCATATGCTTGGGAGTAGGTTAGTGTCTTAAAATAAATTAAAATGCTTATCAGGATATCTCCTAAAAGTGGAAGACAATCAAAGACGAGGATGTTAATTAGCAGGAAATGACAGATATAGACAGGAAGCTTAAACGGAAAAACGCAATAGACTAATTTAATTCGTCGATTAAAAGGAAGTCGCTCATCAGATATCTGACTGTAGTTATCGACTTCTCAAATGCATCCAAAAAGCAAGAGATGAGACCTAACAGAGCTATTGTCATAAAAAGTTATCTCTCAGTAATCTTTTCTCTATTAATTCTCAAACATTTGTTAGAACTTCATCATGGACTATTTTGATCAGAATCCTTTATCATGCATTAACTTCATAGCAACATTTAAAGAAAGAGCTATCCTTCTCTCAGGATTTAGTGACTCTCCATAAGATCATGTATTTACATCGTAAATAATTACTATTCTATAGATTGACAAGATTTGCAGATTTACAGATTTTGAAGGCAATGCTTCTCTACAGAATTCTTTAGAGCTCTGCATTGAGAATTTCTAAACTGTTCCCTCTTATGCAAAGAAGGAGATTCTCATAATATATTGCAGCATTACCAATTGTGATCCAGGCAATGTATTTGAGACTTTTGATAAGCTTAAGAGTCAAAGCATTTCAGCTTCAGTTATATCTCTTTCATCCTCACTATTTATCCTCTAAAAGGTAAGCTCTGTAACAAATGGAGAATTCTTTCTTGCTAAGGATTAGGCTCACTTCTAAGATTTACTTAAAGTATGACATTTTTCTAAAAAATTCATTAACATAGAGACTATTGGTACCCAAGGAAACATTGGAAGACCTTATGTTTAGGAACCAACAAGAAAATATGCTTATAAAAATGGGATTTCCAATGAAGTAACTGCTTAAGATGCCCACATTTTGTTCTTGTCATCATGAAATCAGATTTCTAGTGTATAACTGTCCTAATTGTTTGGCGCCTTCTTGCGAATTGTCATCTTTTTGTAAAGTGTGTTCAATTATGCTGGTAAGTGCTGCACATCTATCTAGGACAGCTTAAAATAATCAAAGTTTGGCTAATTTTACAACTTTAAAGGACTATTTGATCATTTAGAAGACAAATACAAATGAAAGTTAAGCGAATGAAAACTAAATTATCTAGTAAACTTCTTAGCCAGATTAATAAATGACTGATGAGAGCAAGTCCTAATAATAAAAAGGCTAAGAGGAATAAATACATGACCAGGTTAAATTAGGAGAGATTGTTCAGAATAATATGAATAAAACAATTGGTGATATTTTGACAAACAATAGCTAGTATCATTGTAATGGGTGTTCTAAGAAACTTGATGCTACGTTTGATAACCCAGAGAATGTGGTTTGTACCAAATGCAAAAAACTTTACTGTTTGGATTGTGATATTTTTATTCATGAGACGCTTTTGAGTTGCCCGACCTGCCAATTATTATATTGATTATAGAGAAAATTACAAATCCTTAAAATCTCTTTAATATTTTGTCTATGGGGTTTTGGGGTTTTGGGGTTTTGGGG